TAGATAGATAGATAGATAGATAGATAGATAGATAGATAGATAGATAGATAATGGTACATATATAGTGTAGGGATATCCTACTTTAAAAAAACAAAAAAATGTCTTGCTGAAACCACATAAATCATGGTGATAACATTCCACCTCCTGGCAACTTCTCAACTGACTGTACTATTGTGGCAGCTCCCTGTAACTTACTCCATTGTAGACTGGATGAATAGCACAATTCTACAGATGGATCTTCTAAAGCCCTTTAGATAGCTTTGCCACCACTCGAGGTGCTTTCAAAGTTCAGAGGAACTCTTGCTGTCTCCAGCTATGCATGCCTGAACCCCAAATTCTTTTCCACAACCCATGATATAAAGGTAAAAAATGAAGAGAGGCCAAATGAATGATTTAAGCCTACTTGGCACAATTCTTGGGAATATTCTCCTTAGATCAAAACTTTTGAGTCACTTCAATTACCTTCTGAAGTAAGAGTCATGGTAGTTACTGTTAAACGTTAACTCTCTCTTTGTACTGTTCCAGGGGACTCTTGGAAAGAGGGTTGTAGGGAAGTCAAATTAGAGTCCTCCCCAATATTGCAAGGTGTCTTTATGTTAGTTTGTTGGGACCTCCAGAAAATTCCAGTGTGAACGTGTTTATATGTTCACAGACCTAAACTAAGTGGCTTGAAATAGAGGTCCCTAGGAGATGGTATGTCATGATGGAAAAAATATAGGTATGGGATCCAGTCAGATCTGGGATTGAATCCTGTCTCAGCCTCTTGTTACTGTGTGATTCTGGGCAAGTTAGTCTTTCTGAGACTCAGTTTCCTCGGATATGAAATAATACATACTTATTAAGGTAACTGTAAAGATTAGAAATAACGTACTTAAGGCACTCAGCACAGAGCTTAGAACATAAGCTCTCAATAAATGCCATTATGAATAGTAAGATCCACACAGCAACATTCAGTGTATTCAAGTTAAAACTGATTCATATTTTCATGGATTTCAATTTCTCATAAAAGGATTAAGATTAACTGAGGCGCCTGGGTGGCTCAGTTGGTTTAAGCAGCTGCCTTGGGCTCAGGTCATGATCCCAGGGTCCTGGGATCAAGCCCCACGTCGGGCTCCCTGCTCAGTGGGGAGCCTGCTTCTCTCCCTCTGCCTGACTCTCTGCCTACTTGTGTGCTCTCTCTGTCAAATAAATAAATAAAATCTTTTAAAAAAAGAGGATTAAGGTTAAGATAACTTCATTACAATAGTTTATTTTATTACCATCAAGTTCACAAAAGTGATCCTGTGAATCATCATATCTTGCCCAGTCAATGAAAGCTTCTTTGCTTTGATTACTAGGGGAAAGAGGGAATAAAAAAGAAAAATGATTAAATCTGGAGTTGAAAATGTTTACACTGCATCTTATATAATTAAAAACAGATAATCTGAGGTCACGTCTTTAATTTAGATAGTTTATAAATTCAATTAGTGGTTACATGAAGGAATAACAAGTTATATGAAAAATATAGGTATTAATTTCCATGAAGGATTTTTATTTAACTATACTAAAACCATTATTAGCCCTAGAGTTCAATAATTAACTAGAAAATTCATTTACAAATACATGAGATGTAGTTAAACACAAAAGTCAACCTAGCCTTTTCAACTGACTTAGAAATAGAAGTAATCATTTTTTCTAAAATAAGAATTAAATTTACATTCATAATTCCTTTAACTTAAACTGCTTCTGTATTTATAGAACAAAAATACCAAAAACTGCATTTCTAGGATCTCCCTTCCTAAGTGTTATTCACTGGTAACACCAATGTCACTTTAATCATGGCATATCATTCATTTTCTATACTACCTCACATTTAATAAAATCTATGATCAAGATTGCTACTTGGAGAACTAATAGAGGAACTATAGTAATTCAAATAAACTTTGACCTATATTCACGTTAACCTATATTCAGGTATACATGTATATATGTAATGGCAACATCTGTAAGAGAACTGTTCTTCTTCATTTACCACACAATAGGAAAAAATAATGTAAAAAAATTATTTGTGTACCAAGTACAAATGACGTAGTTCCTAAATATGTTACTATCATAGCCAAGAATATATAAGGCTGGCTGCACTCCAGCAACTTTATCAATAAATGTTTCCAATTTAATTCATGGTGGGATTTTTTTTCTCCTATGGGAATACTTAATTAACTTAATACAAGTTAATGGAAATACTTGTATCGTAGTTGACTCAGCTGGAATACAGGATGCGATGAAAGACGAATGCCTAAGTTCTAGTTACAGCGAAGATGATTGATAGCCATAGTTACGTTTAATTAGCTAAGTCTTCTGTTTGAAAATAGTCAAGGACAAAGCAATTGTGACATAAATTCCTACTTTCTTGTTAACAATATGACTAACTTAGAGGAACTTTTATCTTTTGAGCATCCTTATGTGATGATGCTTTCCTGATTGTTTCAACCTAAACCCTGCCTGAAAGCCATGGCAGCAGAAAAGATAGGGAAGGCTAATCTAATGCTAACAGAGCTGGCCCAGTCTGGCTTACAAATGAGTTAGAAGGAACGTAGTCCAGCTTTTCTAAAAGTCAGTTTGAAGATGGATGCCAAACTACTTACCTAACAATTTCCTGGGCCTCACCCAGCGCTTCCTGTCAAGATGGCGCTGAGTTAAAATAGTAGCCTTAGAAGTGGGAAATGCAGGGGCAGGAAGGAACAGGGTAGAGTGATTTCCAAACGGCATGAGAAAACTTTTCAGGGTGGTAAAAAGGATAACCATCTTGATTAAGCTGATTTTCATGAGTGGACACTTGTCAAAACACCAAATGGCATATTTAAACAGGTACAGTATACTGCAGTTCAATTAAATTTCAGTAAAGCTGTTTAAAAATTATAGTACCAATTGTTGGAGAAGTTGTGGAATGAGGTCTACGGCCATACCACCCTGAACACACCCGATCTCGTCTGATCTCGGAAGCTAAGCAGGGTCGGGCCTGGTTAGTACTTGGATGGGAGAAGTTGTGGAATGAGGAACTCTTGTACACTACTAGTGGCAATGTATTTTAGGAGTCATTTTGGGAAAACCACTTGGCAGTATTACTTAATTCCACTTCTAGGTATACTCTACACAGAAATGCATACCAAATGCACCACCAAATGTCCACCACAGTATTTTCTGAAATGGCTGCAAAGTGGAAAACTCCAACTATCAGTGATAGGATGGAAACATTTTGGTGCAGTCTTAACTACGGAAACCAATGAAAAAAGAATTAAATGCTACTACGAAGTTCAAGAACATGAAGGATTCTCATGACATGATGTTTAATAAAATAAGCCAGACACAAAAAAAATACGTTCCATATTATTTCATTTATATAAATAGGCAAAATTAATCTCTGCTACTGTAATTCAAAATCGTGGTTAACTGTGAACGGTGGTAATGACCAGGAAAGTACACACAGCCATCTTTGGGGCAGCAAGTACACTGTTCTGAATGGTTGCTGCAGAGTTGGGTTCACTCTGTAAAATTAAACTGACCTTTATGCTTAAGATTTGTATACTTTATTATACCTGTTATACTTGAATTTAAAAGTTGAAAAAATAACTTCTGTTCAAAATATTTATAAGCAAAATTAAAAGATAAGCCCTAACAACCCATATAGCCAACAAAGAATTATTATCAGATTATATGAAGAATGCCTACAAATGAATAATAATTTAAAAGAATAGACTGTCCCACCTCCACACCCCACCCTACCCCCCATGGAGAAACAGCAGCAAAGAATATAAACAGGCACTTTACCTTAAAATCCTACAATGACTTAAGGCCCAATCCCTGGATGACTTCTCTAGTTATATTCTTTCCTGGGTAATCCCATTCAGGTTTATGGTTTTTAAATACCATATATTCACACATGACTCCCACATTTTCTCTCTCCCCTGAAATTGAGACTTGTGGATCCAACTACCTGCTCGACATCTCCAATTGGATGTCTTACAGACAGCTCAAATGTAGCAAGTCCAAGGCTGAACTATAATTTTCTATCAAACTTGTTCCTCCTGCAAGTATCCCCAGTTCAGTAAATGGCAACTCCCATTTTTCTAGTTCCAAATCTTGTAGTCATTTATAGTTCCTATCTTTTTTTCATACCCCACATCAAATCCTCCAGCAAATCCTGTCAGCTCTATCTTCAAAATCTATCCAGAATCTGACCCCTTCTCATCATTTCTACTGCTATTACCCTAAACTAAATCACCAACCGTCTTTCGTGGATTACTACCATAACCACATAACAAGGCTTCCACAACATAACACCTGGCTCCCTCAAAGCATTCTCTCAAAATCCTCCAATGACTTTTCAGTCCACTCAGTTTAAAAGCAGTATTCCTAATTGTTTTCAAAATCTCCACCCCACCCTACCCCTGCCCCCATCCCTAGCATCTTCTGACTCGGTCTTCTACTACTTTGTCCCGGACCACTGTATACCAGCCACACTGGTCTTCTTGTGATTCCTCAAATACAGACACACTCCTGCCACAGGTCCTTTTTACTAACAATTATGCATGCCTAGATACTCCTTCCCCAGGCAGCCATATTATGACTTATGACTTACACCTTGATGGGCATTTTGTGCAAATGTCCCATTATCGCTGTGGCTTTCTCTCACCATCCAATTTACAACAGTGCAACTTCCCCGCCCTGACCCCCACCACTCCGAGCCCTCTGTCATTCTTCTCTGCTTTACTTCTCCCGGGCACTCATCATCACTTTACTTACTTCTTATATGTTTTACTTATTAACTGCATATCTCCAAAGAGGATTATGCTACATGAGAAAAAGAATTTGTCATGTACACCACTATATGCTTAATACTCTAGAACAGTGCTTGACATATTGTAGGCATTCATTCATTCATAAGAAACACAAATATTCAATAAACAGAGAAAATAAGGTCAAACTCATTAGTAATCAACAAAATATAAATTAAACAAAAATGAGATGCCATTCCATGTGCAAACACTATCAATTTCCGGCAAGGATGCGGAGAACCAAACAAGTTCTCAGCACTGGAGGCAGTACACAGCCACACAGTGCTTTGGAAAGTCATCAGGCAGTATCGAGACTAGGTACACGTGGGCAGTCCTAGGATTCAGCAATTTTACTAGTGCATGCCAAATTTCCTCGTGTACACCAAAAAAATTATCAAGGGTGCTCAAGGTAGCATAATTTGTAGAAGTAAAAAATCTGAATAATTCAAATGTCTATCAGTAGGGGAACAGATAAGTAAAATAGGAGACAGTCATATGATAAAAACCATTCATCAGTTGAAAGAATGAGACAAATCTCCATGTTTTAACATGGACAGACCTAGAAGGCAAAGTGTACAGTGTACAAATAGATTTGAAGAATGTTAAATACAGTATTATTTTATATAAGGGAAAAATAAAATCATATATAAAATAACCATCATTATATATAATAAAAACAAAAGCATAGACGGATATACAGCAAATTCATGATAGTAGTTACCACTCAGAAAGAAGGAAAGAAAATAGGATTGGGAATTAGGGCGTAGCGGATTTCAAATTTATCTTTGATATTTCTCTTTTCTTAAAAACATGGTAGAAAAAGTATCTATTCACTTGGAGTGAATTTATTATATTATCTTATTATATTATCTTCTCCAGTTTTCTATGTTAAAATTTTTCTTCAATAAATAAGACTGATAACTTTATCAAAGCTTTAACAATTATAGTACCCAAATGCCAACCTAAGCAAATAGGGAAATTAAAAAGAATATCAGTAATAATCCATTCCCTACACCCAATTATAGATATGTTCAGTCATTTCATAGTGCATGATCTGAGACCACTCACAAATTATGTTGGCCTTCAAAAGGAGGTTTTTACTTAGAGGAAATAAGGAAAAGTCATTAGAAAAAAAAAAAACAAGAAACTTAATAGTTATGGTAATCATAACTTTCCCTGTTCAAAATGTAATACACAGATTGAATTACTGTTTACAAAAGGCTTAGAGGTTCAAGTTCCTTCTACTATAATAACCAGGAAGAATGGATCCATAAGCCCTGCTACTTGGGCAATCTTCTATATTTTTACATTTTGATAAAGTCACTATTGATGATACATTCTAGAAATTTAAGAACAAATCCACTAAGAGGAGGAAGCAAAGCAATCATGAAATTTAGGATGAAGAATAACTTCTTCCTTTTAAGAATGACTTGAAACTTTACTGTTTTATCAAATATCACAAGAAAAACGGAAGATTTCTGATATAAATATACTAAATAAGAGAATATTTTTTATACTACTAAAATAAAACTTGCCTTAGTGTGCTGTTAATTGCTCCCAGTTTATTAGCTTGCTCACAGTCTTCTAATTCTTTGGTATTGTTTGCTACTTTCGAGTACTGAAAGGAAGTACATAGTAAGTTTAGTAATAACTATTACCTTTCTCTTTATTTCAAGTTCCACTGGCAATCTGTCAACAATGACACAGATACATCCCATTATCAATACCTCTCACATATATAGTCACAAATTCCCACCAACTAAAAAAGACATTAAAAACAATTAGCATTGGTATGTTGGTGATGATGTAAATTGAGAAAACCCTCTTGGGAAAGCAATTTGACAATGTTTATCTAAGCTGTAAAAATGCATAAACCCTTGAACCAACAGTCTTACAACTGAAACCATATCCTGAGCAACACTTAAAAACAAAACCACAGGGCGCCTTGGTGGCTCAGTCGGTTAAGCGTCTGCCTTCGGCTCAGGTCATTATCCCAGGGTCCTGGGATCAAGCCCCACATCGGGCTCCTGGCTCGGCGGGGAGCCTGCTTCTCCCTCTGCCTCTGCCTCCCCCTGCTCATGCTCTCTATTTCTGTGTCTCAAATGAATAAATAAAATCTTAAACAAAAAAAACAAAACCACAAACGAAGTACAACCACTTTAGAAAGGTATTTGGTACTATCTCATCATGTTGAGATATGAGATAGGCATAACCAATGGCCCAGCAACCTTACTTCTAAATATCAATTTAGGAAAACTCTTACATGCGTACACAGTAAGACAAAGGATGAAAATGCTGGTACATCACTATTTGTAATAGCAAAAAACTCAAAACAATTGAAATGTCCATCAACAGAGGAAAAGCTAACCAATGATATACAATTGAATACTACACAACTATTAAAATTAACAAAGCTACATATTATCAACAGAGACAAAATTTCGAAAGCATAATGCAGAGTAAAAAATAACTGAAAAAATATATTTTTTAAAGATTTTATTTATTTATTTCAGAGAAAGAGAGAATGAGAGATAGAGAGCACGAGAGGGAAGAGGGTCAGAGGGAGAAGCAGACTCCCCGCTGAGCAGGGAGCCCGATGTGGGACTCGATCCTGGGACTCCAGGATCATGACCTGAGCCGAAGGCAGTCGCTTAACCAACTGAGCCACCCAGGCACCCTGAAAAAAATATTTTTAAAATAAAAAATATAATCTTAATGTTTTAAAACTATGTATTAAAAGATCTATACATTACTTGTGGGTACACGTGCAATGGAAGTTGAAAAGTAAGAAGTATTGCAAAAGGACACACATCCATTTCAAAAAAGTGGCTATCTCTGGGGAGGGAGGAAACAGAATGGGTTTGGGAAGGAGTCCAGAAGGGATGTCAAATGTCTCTAACACTTTATTTTATATCTGAAACAAAAATAAAGGAGAGTAAACACAAACAAAAAGACCACACAGGGGAGAAAACACAAAAAGAAAATGGAGAGAGGAAGCAGAGGGAGAGGGTATGATGTGTACATGACAGTGAAAAACTAGAAGTAAACGGTTATCTAAAAACACGCACAGCTAAGTAAATTATGACATGCTTATAAGAAGAAAAGGGTAATCTTTTAACACAGCAATATTTTAATGCCATTTAAAAGTACTATGCTCCAAATATCTTGATCTAACTGTTTGGTCTATAAAATATAATCCTGAATAGGACAGGTTGATTAGTTGGAACACAAGACTAAAAATACATGCACGATATAGCACCTGTTCCACAGGCCATCTGATACTGTGGTTATACTATACTTCTATAGTTCTTCTAAAGAAAACAGAATTGAAATATCTCAAAAGAAGCTATATAATTTAACTATAAAAACATACAAGCTCTCTGCTTGCTGCAAGAATTAGAAAGTTGGGACTGTGGGGCAAAATGTGCCCACTCCCAACTAGCCCCAGTACAGTTCTCTTCTGCAACCACTGTCAAGCAGTAAATGGTAAGTTTCACAATGTAAAGCGAAAATATTCAAGGAAGAAAAGTGACTCACCTTATTAGAACTCCCAGCTTTAATTCCGACTGGAATTTTGCTCTTAAAAGAATAGCAACAAGAAAAATTTAGGAAGTTATCTTTTTTTTTTTTGAGATTTGTTCACAAATTAGTAATGCCATTGCTCAAATACAAAGCCTATTTTAGTCTTGATGAAAAACTGAACACTCAAATTCTGTTTTCATACTACCTCTTTTAAGATAAATGGTAAAGAATTACACCAATTTATGGACTTGTAAATCATAGTTTAGCAAACTGAATGACATATACAAAATAAGAGTGTCAAAATCAGCTATAATTTGAACTCATGCAGTATGGAATAGTTTACATAATTTTTAAGTTAAAAAAAAAACCTGACAAAAATCACTTTTCCACAAACTTTCTTACCACAGAAACAGAAGCTCTAAAAATTTTCAAAGTTCTTTGAAAAATTTTATGCTCAATCTTAATTTCAGCTCTAAATTGACATTTAAAGTGAAGGCAGTTTGGGATTAATACCAAAAGAATTAGTTCTTTGGTCCATAGGATTCACCTAGGGTTTACCAATCTAAGTAATCAGGGCTTACTAAGAGAAAATCCACATGTAGATCCAGCTTTCTTTTCTACAAAGCCAATAATTAGTTTTGGGGCTTTAATAAACAAATCTAGAAATCATAACCGGTTTATCAGACACAATTTTAAACAAAAAATCAAATCTGAAAGCAGAAAATCACAGGTTGGTCCTCTGATCAATCTAGGGGACCGATTTCCAACATCTGAATCTACGGTATAGCAAATTACCTATTAAAATCTTTTCATGTTTCATGATAAATTTTAACATAGGTAAATTTAACCAAATATTCAGAATAAATATCTTCCTGTCAGAATAATGGAATAAATAATAAGAGATATTTCCCTAATCAATAAAAAGATTAATAGATTAAAATGTTACTTGCTGTCAGTATTTTATTATTTCGGTGTTTGCTAGTACATCTAACAGAAGGCAGAAAAGACTATAAAACTCAAGTCAAATCTAGCAGCCATGCACCCTGAATTTAAAATGTGGAATAAATACTAACCAAAAGTGACTTCTGGCTGCAGTGTGTCCTCTGACTAGTACAGTATAATGTGCTAAAACCAAAATCTTTAGCAGCTTTTTTAAAGGTTTGATGCTACTAAATGCAGTAACTTGACTTCCGCAAATCTTAACAACAAGCCTTCCAGAAATACTGGGGTAGGCATCACAGATGATTGTCATGAACAACAGATAACAATCACAAAACAGAATTATTAGAAGTAATGATAAATGTAAAACTAATAACTAAAATCAAGCATGAAACAAACCTAGCTGGGACTGAGGCTGGGAAGATGGCAGGGTAGGAGGACCCTAGCTCACCTCACCCCATGGATACAACTAGATAACAGAAACATCAGCACAAATAATCCAGAAAACAACCCAAAGTCTGGCAGAACAAACTCCACAACTAAAGGCAAAGAAGAGGCCACACCGAATTGGGCAGGAAGGGTAGAGAGGCAGTGGGGAATCAAACAGGCCTTGGCTGTCCACAGTCAAGAGCTGGAGGCGCGGAGAGGGTGAGAAACAGACTATCACACGGGCACGGGGAAGACCAATCCCCATAACGTTTGACTTTGAACGCCAGAGGGTCCAAATTTCATGAGTTCCTACAACCAGCGGGACTTGAAGCCTGGAATCTGAAAAATCAGCAGCTCCACTCTGGGAAGAGTCTGAAAGGCATTAGGAAGTAGAGTTCCTGCTCTTAAAAAAGAGAGCATGCAAACAGCCCAGGTAGCTACAGCACAGAAGCAGCAATTTGAAAAACGCCTAGGGCATATGGGAGGGAGATTTACTTACTAATCTCAGAGCATGTCCAGAGAGTCAGGGATCACAGGGAGAGACCCTTCCAGGAACAAAGGAGGCAGGCACCATTTCCCTCACCCCCTACCCCTAACCCAGCATAACACATAGGCATCTGCAGGAACCAGCACTATGCAACACCCCCTACCTAAATTGCTTACACTGAGCCCTACCCACCTTGGGCAGATCCCCTTTTCAACACATTTGCCTCAGTTCTGGCTGCGGATCCCCTCCCACAGAAGACCACCAATGTAAACATCGCCAATGCAGCTTCTCCTGACCCACACGTTGCAGGGCCTTGGTCCAGGAGCTGTGGGTCCTGCAGAAACTCAAGGCACACCCTGTTAAAACTGGTCCCCCACCCACACAGCCTCCCAACCACCAGTGCAGGCAACAGGTATCATTTCACAAACAGACCAGCACACCTTGTTAAAATGTGCCACACCCCAGCAGGGCACCAAACAACAGCCCACAACAGGCTAAGAGAGCCTCTGCAGACAACTAGACTAAAGGAAAAAAGTAGCCAGGATACAATAGCAGAGCATATGCAACACACATAGGAGACACTCCCTGAACTGCCAGGTCCTGGAGAACAGGGGACAACTGCACTGCGGGGCACTACAGGACCTCTTCTTCATAAGGCCATGAACTTCAAGAGGACGCATAGCTGACTTTGCCAAACACACAGAAACAGATATAGAGAATAAGACAAAATGAGATGAGGAATATGTCCCAAACGAAAGAACAGGACAAAACCACAGCAAGAAAGCTGGTGCAGCCACTCTGGAAAACAGTACAGGGGTTCCTCACAAAGTTGAAAATAGAGCTACCCTACAACTCAGCAGTTCCACTGCTGGGTATTTACCCCCAAGATACAAATGTAGTGATCCGAAGGGGCACATGCACCCTGTTGTTTTTGACTATTGTGGACATTGCTGCAATGTCCACAATAGCCAAACTATGGAAAGAGCCTAGATGTCCATCAACAGATGAATGGATAAAGATGATGTGGTATATAATATACAATGGATTACATAGCCATCAAAAAAAAAAAGAAATCTTGCCATTTGCAACTACATGGATGGAACTAGAGGGTATTATGCTAAGCGAAATAAGTCAATCAGAGAAAGACAAGTATCATACGATCTCACTGATATGAGGAATTTGAGAAAGGATCATAGGGGAAGGGAAGGAAAAATGAAACAAGATGAAACCAGAGAGGGAGATAAACCATAAGAGACTCTTAATCTCAGGAAAGTAACTGAGGGTTGCTGGAGTGGAGGTGGGGTGGGAAGGATGGGGTGGCTGGGTGAGGGACACCGGGGAGGGTATGTGCTATGGTGAGCGCTGTGAACTGCATAAGACTAATGAATCACAGACCTGTACCCCTGAAACAAATAATACACTATATGTTAATTTAAAAAAAAATCACAGCAAGAGACCAAAGTGAAATGGATGTAAGTAGTATGACTGATAGAAAATTTAAAGTAATGATCATAAACATACTCACTGGACTTGAGAAAAGAGTGGAGGACATCAGTGAGACCCTTAACACAGAAATAAAAAAGAACACATCAGAGATGAAGAACACAATAATGAAAATAAAAATACACTAAATGGAATAAATAGTAGGCTAGAGGAAACAGGCAAATGAATTAACAACCTGGAAGACAGAGTAATGGAAAGTAATCAAGCTGAGCATGTGAGAGAAAAAAAATTATACAAAATGAGAACAGACTTAGGGAACTCAGTGACTCCATTAAGTGTAATGACATTCAAATTACAGGGATCCCAGAAGAAGAAGAAAAAGAAAAGAGAAATTTTAGTTGAAGAAACAATAGCTAAAAACTTCCTGAATCTGGGGAAGGAAACAGATACTGAGATCCAGGAGGCACAGAGATCCCCAGACAAAAATCAACCCAAGGTGATCCACACGAAGACACATAGTAATTAAAATGGCAAAAAGTAGTGATTAAGAAAAAATTTTAAAAGCAGCAAGAGAAAAGAAAACCGTTACATATAAGGGGAAACCACAAAAATCTATCAGCTGATTTTTTTTTTTAGCAGACACTTTGTAGGCCAGAAGAGAGTGGCATGATATATTGAAAGCACTGAAAAGAAAAATCTGCAGCCAAGAATACTCTATCCAGCAAGGCTGTCATTCAGAATAGAAGGAAAGATAAAGAGTTTCTCAGACAAAACCTACAGGAATTTATGACTACTACACCAGCCATACAACAAATGTTAAAGGGGACACTTTGGAAAGAAAAAACTGGAATTAAGAGTATGAAAAGTAGGAAACATAAAAGCAGTATAAAAATAAGTATATCTGTAAATATCAGTCAAGAGATTCACAAAGGATACAAAATATGACACCATATACCTAAAATGTTGGGCAGAAAGGAATAAAGAATGGGTTCAAACTTAAGCAACCATCAACTTAACATAGACTGCTATATGCGGAAGATGCTATATACAAACCTAATGGTAACCACAAATCAAAACCAGCATCAGATATGAAAAGAATAAAGAAAAAGGAATCCAAGTATATCACTAAAGAAAGGCAAAACACCACAAAAGAGAGCAAGGGAAGGATTAGAGAAAAACTGCAAAACAATCACAAAGCAAGTAACAACTTGGTAATAAATTTATACTTATCAATAACAACTTTGAATATAAATGGACTAGATGCTCTAATCCAAAGACATAGGGTGGATGTCTCTGGATTACATAGAGTGGATAAAAAAAACAAGATCCATCTATAATGCTGCCTACAATAGACTCATTTCAGACCTAAAAACAACTGCAGATTGAAAGTAAGAGGATGAAGAAAGATTTGTCATGCAAATGGAGGTCAAAAGAAAGCCAGAGTAGCAATACTTATATCAAACAAAATAGACTTTAAAACAAAGACTGTAACAAGAGACAAAGAAGAACACTATACAATAATGAAGGGGAGAATCCAACAAGAAGATATAACAATTATAAATATTTATGCACACAACTCAGGAGCACCCAAATACACAAACAGTTAAACATAAAAAAACTAATTGATAGGAATACAATAACAAGAGGGGACTATAACACCCCTCTTACATCAATGGACAGATTGTCCCAACAGAAAATCAACAGGGAAACAACGGCTTTAGGGGTGCCTGGGTGGCTCAGTCATTAAGCGTCTGCCTTCAGCTCAGGTCATGATCCCAGGGCCCTAGGATCAAGTCCCGCATCGGGCTCCCTGCTCCACGGGAAGCCTGCTTCTCCCTCTCCCACTCTCCCTGCTTGTGTTCCCTCTCTGGCTGGGTCTCTCTCTGTCAAATGAATAAATAAAATCTTAAAAAACAACAACAACAATGGCTTTGAATGACACACCAGACCAGATGGATTTAAAAGATAGTTTCAGAACATTCCATCCTAAAACAGCAGATACATATTCTTTGCAAGGGCACACAGAACATTCTCCAGAACAGATCACTTATTAGCCCAGAAAAGAAGCCTCAACAAAGTCAAGAAGATCGAAGTCATACCATGCATCTTTTCTGACCACAACACTATGAAACTAGAAGTCAACCGCAAGAAAAAATCTGGAAAGAGCACAAATTCATAGAGGTTAAATAACATGCTACTAAACACTGAATGAGTCACCCAAGACATCAAAGAAGAAATAAAAAATTACATGGAAACAAATGAAAATGAAACAATGGTCCAAAATCTTGAGGATGCAGCAAAAGTAGTTCTAAGAGGGAAGTTTAGAGCAATACAGGCCTACCTCAAGAAGCAGGAAAAATCTCAAACAACCTAAATTTACACATAAAGGAGATGCAAAAAGAATAGCAAAACCCAAAACGAGCAGAAGGAAATAATAAAGATCAGAGCACAAATAAATGATACAGAAAAATTTTAAAAACAAAATAGAAGAGATCTATGAAATCAGGAGCTGGTTCCTACAAAAGATCAACAAAATTGATAAACCTCTAGCCAGGCTCATTTAAAAAAAGGGAGAGAGAGAAAAAGAGAGAGGACCCAAACAAAATTGCAAATGAAAGAGAGTAACAACAGACACCACAAAAATACAAGCAACTGTAGGAGAATATTATGAAAAATTATATACCAAAAAACTGGACAACCTAGAAGAAATGGACAAATTTCTAGATCCATATAATCTACCAAAACAGCAACAGGAAGAAAGAAAATTTGAACAGACTGATAACCAGCAATGAAATTGAATCAGTAATCAAAAAATTCCAACAAAACTCCCAGACCAGACAGCTTCATAGGCAAATTCTACCAAACATTCCAAGAAGAGTTAATACCTATTCTTCTCAAACTATTTAAAAAAAAAAAAATAGAAGAGGAAGGAAAATTTCCAAGTTCATTCTCTCAGGCCAGCATTATCCTGATACCGAAACCAGATAAAGACACCACTAAAAAACAGAACTACAAAAAAAAAATAATAATAAAAAGATTTTTTTTAATTAAAAATACACAAACTACAGGCCAATACCTTTGATGAACACAGATGCAAAAATCCTCTACAAAATACTAGCAAACCAAGTCCAACAATCCATTAAAAAAAAATCATTCACCATGATCAAGTGGGCTTTATTCCCAGTCGCGAGGGTGGTTCAATATTTGCAAATCAATCAGTGTGATACATCATATCAGTAAGAGAAAGGAAAAGAACCTTAGGATCATTTCAACAAAGGCAGAAAAAGCATTCGATAAAATACAGCATCCATGCATGATTAATAACCCTCAACAAAGTAGGTTTATAGGAAACATACCTCAACTATAATAAAGGCCTTAGACAGAAAACCCATAGCTAATATTATACTCAATGGGGAAAAACTGAGAGCTTTTCCCCTAGCGTCAGGAACAGGACAAGGATGTCACTCTCACCATTTTTATTCAGCATAGTACTAGATGTCCTAGTGACAGCAATCAGACAACAAAAAGGAGTAAAAGGCAACCAGATTGGTAAGGAAGAAGTCAAACACTCACTATTTGCAGATGACATACTATATATAGAAAACTCAAAAGACTCCACCAAAAAACTACTAGACCTGAAAAATGAGTTCAGTAAAGTTCAGGACATAAATCAATGTACAAAAATCTGTTACATTTCTATACACTAATAAGGAAGCAGGGGAAAGAGAAATTAAGAAAACAATCCCACTTACAGCTGCACCAAAAATAATAAAACAGCTACAAATAAACTTAGCAAAGAGGTGAAAGACCTGATTGTGAAAACTATAAAACACTGATGAAAGAAGCTGAAGATGACACAAAGAAATGGAAAGACATTCCATGCTCATGGATTACAAGAACAAATACTGTTAAAATGTCTACACTACCCAAAGCAAGCTACACATTTAATGAAATCCGTATCAAAATATTAACAGCATTTTTCATAGAACTAGAAAAAACACATCCTAAAATTTGTATGGAACCACAAAAGACCCCGAATAGCCAAAGCAATCTTGAAAAAGAAAATCAAAACTGGAGGGAACGTGATTCCAGATTTCAAATTATATTACAAATCTGTAGTAATCAAAACGGTATGGTGCTGGCACAAAAAAAGACACATAGATCAACAGAACAAAATACAGAGCACAGAAAGAAAGCCATGATGCTATTGTCAATTAATCTCGGACAAAGAAGGCAAGAATATTTAATGGGAAAAAGACAGTCTCTTCAGCAAAGGGTAACTGCATGGCTACATGCAAAAGAATGAAACTGGACTCCTTGCACTGTACACAAAAACTCAAAATGGATTAGGGACCTAAATGTGAGACCTAACACCATAAAATTCCTAGAAGACAGCACAGGCAGTTATTTCTCGGACGCTGACCACAGCAATATCTTTCTAGGTAAGTCTCCTGAGGCAAGTAAAACAACAGCAAAAATAAACTAGTGAGATTACACTAAAATAAGAAGCTTCTGCACAGCAAAGGAAACAACCAATAAAACTAAAAGACAACCTACTAATTGGGAGAAGATATTTGCAAATGATATAACCAATTAAGGGTTATTATCCAAATTATATAAAGAACTGATACAACTCAACACCAAAAAATCCCAAATAATCCAATTAAAAAATGGGCAGAAGACATGAACAGACATTTCTCCAAAGAAGACATCCAGATGGCCAACAGACACATGAGAAAATAATACTCAACATCACTTGACATCAGGGCAATCCAAATCCAAACCTCAATGAGATACCACCTCACACCAGTCAGAATGGCTAAACTTAACAAGTCAGGAAAAGACAGATGTTGGCGGGGATGTGGAGAAAGGGGAACCCTCCTACGCTGTTGGTGGGAATGCAAGCTGGTGCAGCCACTCTGGAAGACAGCATGCAGATTCCTTGAAAAATCAAAAATAGAACTACCCTATGATGCAGCAATTGCACTACTAGGTATTTACCCAAAGAATACAAAATCACTAATTTGAAGGGATATATGCACCCCTATGTTTATAGCATCATTATTTACAATAGACAAACCATGAAGCAGCCCAAGCATCCATCAATAGATGAATGGATAAAGAAGATGTGGTATATACTTATTATTCAGCCATAAAAAAAAGAATGAAGTCCTGCCATTTGCAAAAACATGGATGGATCTAGAGAGTATAATGCTTAGGGAAATAAGCCAATCAGAGAAAGATAATTACCATATGATTTCACTCATATGTGGAATTTAAGAAGCAAAACAAACAAAAGAACAAAAAAGAGAGAGAGACAAACCAAACAACTCTTAACTATACAGAACAAACAGATGGTTACCAGAAGGGAGGTGGGAGGGGGCAATGGCTGAAACAGGTGAAGTGGATTAAGAGTACACTTATCTTGATGAGCACTGAGTAATACGTGGAACTACTGAATCACTATTTTGTACACATGAAATGAATGTAACACTATATTTTAACACTTTTTTTTAGCTATATAGCACATTATTAAGTCATTTAGCAATGTATGACTAAGGTCTATAAATTAGACATTAGTATTATAATTAATGTTAATTTCCTGATTTTTTTAATTACATTGTGGTTAGATAAGAGAATAATCTTGTTTTTAAGGAAACACACTCAAGTAATTAGGGGTAAAGTATCACCATGTTAGTAACTTATACCCAAATAATTCAGAAAATATTAACATGTATATATACAGACAATAATAAAGCAAACGTGATAAACATTTAGGGAATCTGAACAAAAATAAGTGAGGACTGTTGGTATTATTCTCCCAATTTTTCTGTAGGTCTGAAATTATTTCAAACTAAAAAGTTAAGAAAAAAACATTTTATTCTCAAAGGAAAATGAAGAGAGTTTTTTTAATTGTCCCTTTAGAAAGGACATTGGTTAAGATGGTTTTTTCCCATTTTTAAGGATAACTAGATTAACTGATTAGGTAAGAAAAGCAAAAAGTGAAATGAAAACAGAACTTATAATGAATTACTGTTTAAGAAGAATCAACTATGCTAGATGTCAAAAAACAAAGTCTAAAATGTAAGTATAGCTTTTTCTTTTTTTAAGGTAACAAGACCAAGTGAAATTCCTCTTCTTTACCCACTTCTAATTCCCACTCTAAATGTAAAATTTAAGGCCCAGTAGCATCACTTTTCTTATGAAACAAGATGCATATTCAATAAAGCCTGAAATCAGAGTTAGCCAATTGTAGATCCAGTCCTAGAACAGGCCCCCAATTTTCCATTTGTCTTAGAATCATACTATACTTCCACAACCAATCTATACTACTGGATACAAGAGTGTCTTCAAACCCATTTTGGTGATGAGTATAAAATAAATCTTCAGTAATCTGGTTAAAAAGAGAGCTGACACCATATGAATTTGAGGACAAGTCTAAATCCATCAAAAGTGGCCTAAAATACAAATTCACACTTATCTAAGAGTCCAAGAGGAAGCAATGTTTTCCCTATTATTTTTTTTAATTTATTTTACCTCTGGACAGGGCTCCACATGGCAGTCTTTTATTGAACAATGGCCATCTTCTGCCCAGAAAGGACATGGTCTCTTCAGATTGACCTTGAGAGAAAGATTGGTTAACATTAGTACATGTGTGGCACGGTTCTGCAATGCTCTCCAGGTGTCCCTGTGCTGGGCACCAGTGACGTGGTGGTAGGAAGAAGAAAAAGCTTCCTATCCTGTGGCATCTACAGAGTTCAGAATTTTAAACAACTGCAGTTTTTCTGACATCCAGATGTAATATTAATTAAAAAAAAATAAGTTATTAGTCCTCTGACACTTTAAAGTCCAAGTACACTGCTCCTCTGCAGACCCTGGAGAGCGTTCTACTTTAATGTCCGTCAGCATCTTACTGTTACCTTACTCACTAGGGTTCTCTCTAGCACTCACCCACTTCAGTGTGTACTGAGCACCCACGGTCTGTCTGGCATTGTGTAGGGTCTAGGACAAAAAGAGATGTAAAAAAGCACTCCCCCACCCGGAACTTACAGCCTACAGGAGGGAATAGAAATCACACGTTTGTATGTTTGTTCAACTACAAATCGTGGTAAGTGCTACAAAGGAACATCCAGAGTTTGTGATGGAAAATAATGGGGGGGCTGGTGGATGGTGGCCTCTGAGGAGGTAATATTTTAGGATGGATGAATGTTAGGAAAAACATGTGTTTGGATAAAGTGATACAGCTTGAACAGTTGTGAGAACTGAAAAAAACAAACAAACAAACAAAAAAAAACCACCCAGTTTAGCCGACTTTTAGTGGGGGGATGAGGGTAGACATAGGACAGGGGCAGACCATTTTCACCATCAAGACAATTTTTTTTAAAGATTTTATTTATTCATTTGAGACACAGAGATAGAGAAAGGGCATGAGCAGGGAGAGAGGCAGAGGGAGAAGCAGGCTCCTCGCTGAGCCAGGAGCCCGATGTGGGGTCGATCCCACGACGCTGGGATCATGACCTGAGCCGAAGGCAGACGCTTAACCATCTGAGCCACCCAGGCGCCCCCCCCCCCATCAGGACATTTTAACCATAGTTAAAAACTCTGGATTTTCTTACATTGAACTTAATGGAAGCCCAAACTCCTTTCCTATCTCCTACAAGCAATTCGTTATCGATGTCTTCCCACCGCCTCCACTGCCACCGCTTCCCTTCCCGCCTAGACCCCTCCAGGTTCCTTGCTTCTACTACCATCTGTCGTCCACACAGCAGGCACCATGCTCTCCCTTCTGTCTCGAGGCCTTTACAGCAGCCTTCTCTTTGCCCATACTGTCACACCACATCTTATGACCTGCTCCCTTCACCTCATCCAGGACCTTCCCTGACCCGACTCTCCAAAGTAGTGCCCAATATGCACCCCGCACCCTGTTTTATATTCTTTTTATAGCACTTGCCACTGCCTGAATATTACTGACTCGTTTATTGTCTGTATCCCCCACTGTCAGGAGTGAGATGTTGCTTTATTCATTATTTTATCCCCAATGCCTCGGACACATAATAGGCAGCTCAATAGGGACACCTGAGTGGCTCAGTCGGTTAAGTGTCTGACTCTTGATTTTGGCTCAGGTCATGATCTCAGGACCGTGAGACTGAGCCCCACGTTGGGCTCTGCACTGGGCATGGAACCTGCTTGGGATTCTCTCTCTCCCTCTCTCTCTGCCCCTCCCTCTCTGACACATGCACGCGAACATTTGCTCTAAAAAAAAAAAAATAGACATCTCAACAAATAGAATAATTAACACCTATATTACAGAGGAAGAGGCAACAATACATAGAGACTGGCAACAGGAGGAGAGAGTGGTCAACTCTGACCATGGAGTTGTCAGGGAATGCCTCCTTTTGGTAACATGTAAAATGGGTAGGACTAGAAGTTTCCTAGAGAAGGAGATTTCCAGGCAAAGGGATGTTTGTTTGGCAACTGCAGGTTCCTCGAGCTCCTGGCTTGTATGTCCAATGCCTCGCTGATATCTCCACAGGACATTCTTTTTTTTTTTTTTTTAAAGATTTTATTTATTTATTTGACAGAGAAAGAGACATGGCAAAAAAGGGAATACAAGCAAGGGGTGTGCGAGTGGGAGAAGCAGGCTTCCCGCTGAGCAGGGCACCCGATGCAGGGCTTGATCCCAGGACCCTGGGATCATGACCTGAGCCAAAGGCAGATGCTTAACGACTGAGCCACCCAGGTGCCCCTCCACAGGACATTCTTATTGCCATCTCAGTAAACAGCAACTCCATTATTCTAGATCTTCAGGCCCAAATCCTGGCATCAACCTCAACTCCTTGCTTTCTTACCCCACATACAATACCTCTGAAAATTGGGTCAGTTCAAAATCCAAGTCCCTATAATGGCCAAGAATGCCTTCCATGGTCTGGCTCCTCTGCTCTCTGCCCCTTCTTCACTGGCCTCCATATTGTTCCTCAAATACATGAGACACACTGTGGTCTCAGGGCCTTTGCTCCTGCCATTCCCTCTGCCTGAAGTATTGCTTGCTCCAGATACCAACATGACTTGCTTTCTTACTCCCTTTAGATCTTCCCCAAATGCCACCTTCTCAGTGTGCTGTTTTAAGTTGCTACATTCTAGGCTAATTTGTAATGCAGTGGCAGAAAACTAATACACAGTGCAAGGAGTAGACTGTAGTGGACACTGCAACGTGCTGCTCACATCACCCTTCAGGAATAAGGGTTTATTACCCCAGCTTCCGGAAACATTAGCTTCTGAAATTCTGGAAATGAGGCAGCCAACCTCAGCTGAAGACAGCCACTTTGCCCAAGGTCACACCACCCCTTCCAATGGTGGCCTTCATCAGATGACTGATGTAGGGCTGCAAAGGCACAGACCTCTCCTGCAAGTGGGTACACCTCTGGAGGGCCATCCCATATGAAGGACTCCCAGAGGGTCACCTGATGTTTCCACAGAGGCTGACTCATAGCTTTACCTCTCCCTCTGCTCTTTTCACTCCCCGAGCTGTCGGTGCCATGAGCGGTCCCTAAGTAACCCCTTGCCCACTAACCATGGTCTCAGAATCTGCTTCCCAGAGAACTTAAGCTGTAACAACTTGTCCAGCTCCAGTAGAAAACTATTGGCACTTTTATGAAGATCACATTAAATTTATATGTTAACGTGGAGAGAATTAACATCTTTCTGCTACAAAGACATCAGTCCATTTCTTGAAGCCTACTTTGTGTCTCTCAGTAGTGTTTTGAAGCTTTCCTCCTCTAGGTTGTGCAGATTTATTGATTCATTTACTCCTATATATTTCATCTTCTTTCACTGCTTAATGTAAATGGGGATTTAGTTTCGTCATATCTTCTCGTTGTTTATATTTATGAAGATATGGGTTTTTGTATATTAAGTTTATAGCCTGCTATCTTAATGCATTTTTTAATCATTTTGTTCATTGAGTTTTCTAGTATACTTTTGTCATCTATAAATGGAGATAGTTTTACTTATTCTTCAAAAATGTTTGTGCCTCTGGTTGCTTTTTTCTCGTTTGGTATACTAATACCTCCAGCAGTAAAGAAGAGAGTGGGTACCCTTGTCTTGGTCCCTCACCTAAGTGAGAATTCCTCTACTATTTCCCAAAAAGCAAGATGGTGGCAATGCTAATGTTAGGATTAAAATTATCACGTTAAGGATGGATCCATCATTCCTATTAAATTTTTTAAAAATTAGGAACGCGTGTTGAACTGTGTTGAAGACCTAAAAGCCTTGTCCTTGCATTCTTAGAATAAGATTAACTTGGTCAGGATACATTTTTTTTTTTGTAATATGCTCAAAATGCCACATCATCTTTGATTTCACTTCTACTCTCACAGCTTACGTTCACTCCATCAGACAAGTTTGTTGGTGTTACCTCTTATATACGATGCTCATTTGCTCACTTTTTACTTCTTCCAACTCTACTGCCCTATTCCAGAACCCTATCCCCTTCCATCTGGTCTCACGCAAAAACCTCCTACATGGTTTCTCTATTTCCTGTCACACACCCTGACAGTCTATTTTGTACAAATCCCTCCAAAAGCTTATCAACTTACACTAAAATTCAACATCCTTATGTGCTGAACAAGGCCCATATTTTTTTTAAAAATCTGGCTCCTACCTACCTTTCCAACTCTCCGTAGCTCACTCACTTTGCTCCAGCTATACCAGTCTTCTTATTCCTCAAACACTCTAAACCTTTACGCCTGCATTCAAGACCTTTATACCTGAGGTTCTACTCCCCTTCCCTGGAATGTTCTCTCTCCATGTCTTGTCATGGCTTTCACATTATGTAGGTCTTTACTCAAATGGCAGAGCATGAATACCTTCCTTTCCTGATCATCTTCTTTAAAAATAAAAGCTTTAAAATAAAAATAAAGCTACCTACCTTCCCCACCCCATTAACTTACTCTTTCTATCTCCTACTTTATTTTTCTCCATAGCACTTACTTTATAACCATATGAAATTATATTTCATTGTTTATTGTTTGCCTTCCTCATCAGAATAAAAGTTTCATGAAGTCAGTCTGTGTGTTATTCACTATTGTATCCACAGCAGTTAGAATAGTGCCTACTGCAGGACACCTGGGTGGCTTAGTTGGTTAAGCATCTGCCTTCAGCTCAGGTCATGATCACAGGGTCCTGGGATCGAGTCTTGCTCAGCGGGGAGTCTGCTTCTCCCTCTGCCTGCCACTCCCCCTGCTTGTGCTCTCTTTCTCTCTCTCTCTCTGACAAATAAACAAAATCTTAAAAAAAAAAAAAAAAGAATAGCACCTACTGCAAAGTAATCATTCAATAAATAGTTGGTGAATAAAGGAACGGAATGAATAGTATAAGAAACTGTAAATACCAACTACAGCAGCCAACTGAGCGGGTGACAGGGGTAGACTGTTGCTTCTACCTCTGTATGCTTGCTTGCTCAATCATAAGTATGGATGCACATGTTTAAAATTAAGCTATTCTCTTTGCTTTCCTTTTCTGCCACTAGTGTATGGACAGCATACTGGTGGCAGTTAAATGTCCTTTTTGTTTAATTTACAGGTTGGCAGAACTAGAAAAGGAATAGATATCACCTGAATATCCTGGACTTGGAGACAAACCCATTAACTAAATCACTGCATTACCCTCCCTTGGGCAAGTGTGAGGATACCCCCATTACACATAGAGTAATTTCATTAAATTGGTCAGAACATTTTCTTAGAACACTGTTATTTTGCCTATCCAACTTCCATTTTTCCTTCTTCTGTAATATCCCCTATATTCCTTTGAGAAAACAATCACTCTCCCCACATAGTTATGCAAATAGGATTGTTAACCAAAGTGTCTTTCCCTCTTTTGGTCAATTAGACCAATTAGACACCTGTATAAGTGTTTTTCCAGAAATTAGGGAGAAATTTCTCCCAGAAATTTGACACCTGTATAAAGTGTTGCAAAAATATGGGAAATGGCTAACTGTGCCAAAATTTTGGTGGTGACATAAAAAGAATGGCCATTAGTTCCTGCTCTAATTTTTTTTTTTTATCCTCAAATATTTAAAGACTAAGATAGCTATATAGAATCAGGACAAAAAAGAAAACCATGCTCAGTTTTTAAAATAAACTAAAAATGAAAATCAAAGAAATTATAAACCCATTTGAATATTGAGAGCAAGAGCACAGCAAAGCATAACAGCTGCTTGAAAATACTGTTCTTAAATTTAAAATGCTGCTCTTTTGAACAGTGCCTTATTGGTGCTACTTTTAAATGATCATTGGTTTTTTATTTTGTAAAGGTCTAGAGTAGATGGTTCGATTTAAGAACCCATTCCGCGGTATTACTCCGAAGGGTGTTCTGCTGGTACCCTCAGCCTGGTTTGGCAGCCCTTCCAGTGAGCTCCCCAGGAGATGTCTGCTGCTGCGGTGCTTACACCGTGAACAGCGCTAACACAGGACTTGGCCATCAGCACAGCACGGAGCCTGGGGAGGGGTCTAGGGGGCGAAGCCTAAGTTACAACGAAGGCTGACAGGTTAAGTCCGCAGCATTTTCAGCTTCTGTGGAAGGAGTCTCTGTCTCAAAACCAAAACTGAAAGATGAGACATGCCCCAAACATAAGAAGAGGGTTCAGGTTCTTAGTGTTCAAAAAGACGATCAGGTTTCACTACAGTACTTAATACACTCCACTGACAAAAAGCGCAGAGGGTGCTGAGAAGTCAAAATGGATTTTCAAAAGGATCATAAAAGTCACATCTGTAAACAGCTATGTAAAAATCTTTGCTACTAACGGAATCAAAAACTGTAACTATACCTTGTAATAACGGAAGTAGTCTCGCTCTTGCAATTTTTTTATTTTGGGGAAGATTTTGAAGGTGTTAAAGTTATCAATGCTATCAATATCACACAGGCAATCATCCAGGACTCCGGTGACCTAGGGGGTAAAATATATATATAAAATTTAAAATATGTAAATTATAGATATTCCAAGCTTAACAAATCTGTACTATTATATAAAAAGATAATTTATTCATTCAAGGTAACTAGTCTTTGTTAAGATACATAACGTTAAAGGGGTGCCTAGGTGGCTCAGACAGTTAAGCCTCTGCCTTCAGCTCGGGTCGTGATCCCAAGGTCCTGGGATGGGAGCCCTGTGTCAGGCTCCCTGCTCAGCAGGGGGTCTGCTTCTCCCTCTCTCTCTACCACTCTCCCATTCGTTCTCTAATAAATAAAATCCTTTATAAAAAAAGATACATAACATTAAAGCAATCATTTATTTTTACTATGGCCGATTAAGTAAGAAACAATATAAGGATTAGATATACCTATTCTGAAGAACTAAGCATTATTGTTGAGTGGCTAGAGAAATATATTGAATGTTCCTTCCGTTCCCCAAACATACATAAAATCCAAGAAGTAGGTGGAATGCTAAAGCAATTTCTTCCAAGACTAACCTAAAAGTCATAGACTGTGATAATATTGCCGTAGTAACACTACCTTTCTTTTCTACTGCCATTTATGGAACACTTATGTGATAAGCATTGTGATAAGAACATTACATGTTACCTCATTTAGTCTTGAAATATTCTATGAAATAGGTATTATTCTCATTTTACACATTAGAGAATTAAGGCTTAGCATGGTTAAAATAATCTTTCCAAAGTAGAAATGAGACTTAGTCCCAAGTCAATCGCACTTAAAAATACATGCTTTATCCACTACTCAAAGTATACATTAACTGAACAGAAACTGATGTTTACAAAATGAGTTCAGAATCCAAAACTTCCATAAAACATTCTTCAGCTAAATTTAAAAATGGGACTCACTGACATCCATCCACATCTTGGATGAACCTTCAGGGAATCAGGCTGAGTGAAAAAAGCCAACCCCAAAAGGGTACATACTATGTGATTTCATTTAGACAACATTTTTGAAATGGAGAACAGTTTATTGGTTGCCAGGGCTTAAGGACCGGAGTAGGGATAGGAGTCGGAGTCGGGGAGAAGGGTAAAAAGGAGGTAAGTGTGGTTATAAAAGGGCAAGAGGAAGGGCACCTGGGTGGCTCAGTCAGTTGAGATTCTGACTCTTGGTTTCGGCTCAAGTCATGATCTCAGGGTTGTGAGACTGAGCCCTGTGATGGGCTCCATGCTCAGTGGAGAGTCTGAGATTCTCTCCCTCTTCCTTTGCCCCCCTCACCACTCCCTCCCTAAAAAAAATTAACTTTCTTAAGGGCAAGAGGAAGGATCCTTGTGGTGATGACATTGTTCAGTATCTTGACTATGGTGGTGGATACACAAACCTAAATGTGTGATAAAAAGTGAACAGAATACATACAGACACAAGTGAGAGTAGGGGGAAGCTGATTAAGATCAGCAGAGTACATCAATGTCAATGGCCTGGTGATAATATTGCACTGTATGTTTGCAAAATGGTACTGTTGGGGAAAACTAGACACAGTGTAGGTGGTATTTTTTTTGTATTATTTCTTACAACTTAATGGAACCTACAACTATCTCAATTAAGGTTAAAATTTAAAAACAAAAATGGGACCTACGTTGTTAAGGATCATTTGTATGATCCATTGGAGGAATTTATGCAAAGATGATCAGAAAATGGAAACCAGAACTTCCCGGTTGTTACTTTCTCATGCTTTTCCTCTAGGAATGCAAATGTGTTCCCAAACTCCCTACACCGTAAAGAGTCAGAGGTACATTATCTTTAAAGACCAAAGGATCGTTAACAACAATTTTGGCCCTAGAATTCCGGATGCTTTACTATCCTAGTTACTAAGATCCTGGCACTAACTCTGTTGAATTTCATTCCATTTCTCTAGCTTACTATTTATAAAACTTCAAATTCTAAGTAATTGCAGCGGGTAGGGGGAGTAGAAATACCAACTGACAACTTTTGAGGTTTTAAAAATATTTTATCCAGTGATTGCTCTTTCTTACAAATTTTTCTTAAATTGTTGCTTTTCAGTAAACCACCATATTTGGGGGTTTTTAAATATATTTTAATTGTGGTAGAGGCTGGGGTAAGGTATACAAAATTATCATGTTTATTTCTAACTCTTAAGGACAACTACTAAGACAAAAACCTACATATCACCAAAATGTTTAAAAAGAGAAATAGAGGGGCGCCTGGGTGCCTCACTGGTCGAGCATCTGACTCCTGGTTTCAGCTCAGGTCCTGATCTCAGGGGCTTGGGATGGAGCCTCAGCCTGTCCCTTCATGCTCCCTGCTCAGCAAGGAGCCTGCGTCTCTCCCTCTCCCCACCCCACCTCTTTCTAAAATAATCTTTAAAAATAATAGAGATAGAATACGGCTATTATCTTTCAAGTCCCTTCTAATTATGGCCATCTCCCTCCCCCTGGAGATAGAATTATTTTTGTTAATTTCTTTACTTTTCCTTCTAATTTCATCACAAATGCTATATCCCTAAACAATATAGAGGGCTTGTTTTTGAACCTTAATATTAACGGCATCTATCGTGTGAATTATATTGTGATGTACTTCTTTTGCTAATATTTTGACAGCTACCCACCATAATGAGTTTTATGCTCATTCATTTTTCCCTGCTATAAATGTTGCATTATATGAAAATATCACAAGGTATTTGTTCTATTGTTGACCTGTAAGGAAGGCAGAATAATGCCCCCCCCAAAGATATCCATGCCCTAATTCCTGAAGCCTGTGAATATGTTACTGTACACAGCAAAAGTGACTCTGCAGATGTGATTAAGCATCTTGAGATGGTTAAGATTATACTGGATTATTTAAGTGGACTCAATACTAAGATCCTTGTAAGAGGAAGACAGGTGTCAGAGTCAGACTGGAAGATGCTACATTACTGGCTTTTAAGACAGGGGAAAAGGACATATGCCAGGAACAAAGCAGCCTCTAGAAGCTTGGAAAAGGGAAGGAATGATTCTCCCCTAGAGCCTCCAGAAGAAACGCAGCCTTGTTGATACCTTGGTTTTACCCCTGTAAAACCCATTTTCAGACTCCTGGCCTACATACAGCATTATGTGATCATAAATTTGTATTCTTTTAAGCCACTAAATTTGTGGTAATTTGTTAGAGCAGCAAGAGGAAACTAATGCAATCCATACTTCGGCTGTTTCCAGATTAAGTTAAAGAATAATGCTACACAAATGTATTTTTCATTATCTCTCTATATATATGTGTGTAAGAGTTTCTCCAGCTTATATGATTACAAGTGCAATTATTATAGCTCATTTTCAAAATAGGTATGCCAATTTATAATCCTACCAACAGCAGACAGAAGTTACTGCTAAATCCTATCCTTACCAATATTTGATATTTTTAAAATTTTTGCCAATCTAGTAAGCATGAATTTTTGTACTAATGAAGTATGTTTTATGTTCTATAAGACATTTGTATTTCTTGTGTGAAATACCTGCCTTTTTTTCATTTTTCTACTGGGTTGTCTTTTTCATATTAACATGCAGGAATCGATACTTGTTCCCTATTCTAGTACATTCTTCTGGAACTCCAACCAGACATATTAGACCATGTCTCTTAAGCTCTCTTTAAAATTTACTATCCCATTATTCCTCTGAGATTCATTCTGAATAATTCATTTGCTTTTATTTTCCATTCCTTTATTGATTCACTCATTCATTCATTCATTCAACATATTTGAGGATCTACCTAATATAAGCCTTGCACTGTTCTAGCTGCTGGAAGTGCAGAAGTAGTAGAAAGAAAAAAAAAACAAAAACAAAAATTTCTGCCCTCCATGAGCTTACATTCTCATAGGAAAGAAAAAAAAAATAAGCCAAGTACAGAGTCTGTCAGATGGTAATAAAGTAATAGGAAAACCAGGGAATGCAGACAGGCATTGCAGGACTGAGCTGCTCCTATTTTTAAAAGGAGAGTTACAAAAGGTCTTGTGAAATTTTGGCAATACTTGAAGGAGGAAAAGGAACAAGCCACACAATTTGGGAGAGTCGGGGGCGGGGAAGCACTCCAGGCATTGGGAACACAAAAATATAAATGCCCCGAGGCAGTCAGCTGGCCCAAAGTTTCTGAGGAACAATGAGGACTATGTAGTAGGTGAAAAGGAAAAATAGGAGACCATTATAAGACTTTGGCTTTAATGGAACTTGGGGTTTTCTCACATCAACCAATTCTCCAACTCTCCAACACCAACTGGGTGCCCAATTCAGTTCTGATACCATCTAGAGTTAGAGCAGACCTCACAAATTAAGGGCTCAGTCACAAAGACTGTCCCCACCTTAGATATCAGTCCCAAGTTCCAAGCCACCAGTACTTCTGACTGACCAGCTATAAATTGGGGGTTCCCACGACTATCTTCTCAAGTTCAGTAATTTGCAATGGCTTACAGAACCAGGGAAACACTTGTTTTCTGGTTTATTGTAAAGGATACAACTCAGGAAGTGCCAAATAGGATAGATAGGGGCATAGGGCAAGGTATTGGGGGGTGCAAGTATAGACCTTCCCTGCCTCTGAGCCCCCCTCCCAGCAAGGGTCTGTATTCACCCACCTGGAAACTCATCAATCTTGTTTTAAGAGCTTTTACAGAGCTCAATCTCTAGCACCCCTCTCCCCATCCCAGGGGTCATGGGTGGGGTTGAAAGAGGAGAAACAAGCAAAGGATAACCAGAAAGACTAGCCTGAAAGACAAGACAAAAATCAGAAAAGTACATCCTGGAAGCCCAAAGAAAAAAAGTATTTCAAGGAGAGTAAGTGATTAACTGTGGGAACAAATGCTGTCTATAGATAAAGCTAAGGTTTAAAAACTAACTACTGGCTTTAACGACAAGGAAGACATTAGTGACCTTGACAAGAGCAGTTTCTGAGGAGTGGTAGGGGCAAAAGTTTGACTGGAGTAGGCTGAAGAGAGGACCAGAATGGAAGGAATAAGGATAATTCATTTGAGGAGTTTCTCTATAGAAGAGGACAGAAAAATGGAGCAGAGCCAGGAAGAGACGGGCGGGTCGAGAGAGAACTGTAAACTAGAATTACCACTACGTTTTAGGATGACAGCACCAGTCCATCAGACAAGGACAAATTAATGATCCAGGAGAGAAAGGGAAGATTTGCTTGAGCCATGTCCCTGAAAGAAGGAATGGGATCTAATATACAAAAGAGAGGGATTAGCCTTTGATAAGAGTTCATAGTTCATCTACGATAATCCTTTGGAAGTCATGATGTGTGGGTACAGAGACTAATAGGTAAACACATATGGATTACATTGATTATTCCAATTTTGTTAGTGAAGTACGAAGCTAAGAAAAGGGAAAGTGTTGGAGGATTAAGTAGAAAAAGACACAAAATGGTTGCCTGGTTCATAATCATTTCTTCTGCTGGATGTAATCAGCTATCTAATCCATCCATTGAGTTTTTAATTTCAGCTCTAGAAATCCCATCACATTATGTTTTAATTTTTTTTTTTTTTTGATCATTCTTTAAAATCTCTTGTTCCCTTTCCATAGTTTCAGGGCAAGGTCTCTGTCTCTGCCAACCATCCCTTTGTATTTAAATTCACTATGTTTAATGTGTTTAAATTAGCTCTGATATTTTCAGAATCTAAGGTCATGACAGGTCTTTTTCCATAGTCTATATTTCTAGTACCTCATTCACGGTGCCTAGTGTTTGGTGATTTTTGACTATTAGCTGCTTATTCTCCTTGGCACTATATCTTTAAGAGTTCTTTAGGGCCTGGGTTGAAAATAAATTCCTCCAGAGGGGATGGATATTTGCTCTTACTCTAAGTAAACTAGGGGCATACCCACCTAGGTCTGCTACAAATTAAATTTTCCACTTGAAGCTTTTCCTAGCATAGGTGCCATGAACTTGGTCTGCAAACCTTTATAAGAGCTGGTTCATGGTTATAGATTCTCAAGGGAGTCTTTTCCCCCTTCCCTAGCAAGTTTCTTACTTTTCCCTTATTCCTGGTAGGACTCATTTCTCATACTGAGGATGTAGCTCTTTGGAGTTCAAGCTTTATGGTGGGGTCTCCTTTTAGTTTCCTCTCTTTGGGCACACACTGAGCCTTTATTTCTTGTCCATACCACACTAAGGAGCTATTACAGCAGAAAGTCAAGATCTTCAGGGTTGGGGGAAAATCCTCCGGGTAATGGACTGGAACAACACTATTTGAGTCTCAAGATCAGCTTTCTATTGGGAACAGGGGGACTCTATGTATTCTCTGATTTCATGCCACCTCAGATGCATTTAGAAAGACTTAAAAATACATCTGACTAAAATTACTTCTTTACAGGAAGATTAACTTGTCATACCACTTATATGCACTATGTTTTTCCTTTGTAGTGCTTCCCAGACTACAAAGAACATTTGCATTTAATTTATAAGAAAATGGGGTATGAGGGGTGCCTGGGTCGCTCAGTTGGTTAAACATCTGACTTTGGCCCAGGTCATGATCTCTGGTTCCTGGGATCAAGCCCCAAATTGTTCTCCCTCTGCTCCTCGCCTCCCCACACCCCCACCGGTTCATGCTGTCTCACATAAATAAAATCTAAAAAAAAAAAAGAAAAGAAAAAAAAAGGGGTTTGAGATATACAAATGCCTATCATTTTATATGCTCAAAAATAACTTCATGCTTTCATTCCAAGGAAACATATTCAATATATCCCTCTTCCTAAATGATTTCTTATAAATGGAGGTATTTTTTTTAAAAAATCCAATTTTTCCCTTTATGCTTTACTGGGCTTTTATTTCCCCTCCCAATTTAGTACACATAAGAGAAGTGAAAGAACTATCTTATTTCCACTTTATTTTCCTGGGTCTCCCTCTGCTTTATTTCGATACCCTAAAGAAGCAAGCATGCTGAGATGTATTGTGCAGAAGAAAAGGGGGCCTACTAGGGCTCCAGTTTAATCTTGTGCACTTAAGAAGTGATATTAGTCATGTAAGCTTTTTGAACTTCAGTTACCTTAATAGGCGCACTTCTGGGAGACAGATCCAATAAAATGAGGTAATAGATATTTAAACATGTTGGAATTAAAATACTATCTATAATATGCTCCAACACTATATTAGAAAATACCACTGGAAACAAAAACCAAATGTATCCACTTTTGAGGACTGTTTGGCACAAAGCTACTTTGAATATGCACAAATCTTTAATTTTGGAACTATATGTATTCACTTGGACATGATAAAATGACATATATTCATTGGGATAAAATAAAAGTACACATGCAATTATAAAACAGTAACACATGTAATTAGATGAAAAAACCTGAAGTGAAGTTTCCAGATTGATGACAAAGTATACAATTAATATAGGCTACAAAAAGAAAAAAAATGAGAAAAATCCCCTTTTAGAAAAATACCTAAATGTATATTCCACCCAAACCCTATCACCCAACCAGTAGCTAGAAAATAATTTTGCTAAAGACAATTTGGAAAATTTACTTTTTAGAAGATTTCCAGATTTCCACTATTTCAGTGTTGTCTAAGCAGGGTTCAAAAGGTAGTTCAGAGGATAACTGCATTACAGTTACTTACAAACAAGGTTTGTTTAAAATTGCTGATCCCTGGGTCGCATCCAGATCCACTAAATCAAAAGATGTGGCAGTGGGGCCAGAGAATCTGCATTTTTAACGTGCTCACCAACACCGAATCCAAGTCTGCCCCTTTTATTTTTTTTTTACCAAATCATTCATTTAAAAAAATATTCACACAAATAGGATATTCAGGCTTTCTGGGATTTAGTGCACAACACCGTAACGCCATGAAAAAAAGTACGTGAATAAAGTCAGAAAAACATGTTTACACGGTTACACTCATAGTTTCAGTTTTTCTCAGCAATGAGCATTAATTGCTTCAAATGACATCTCCCCTCATTATCGAGCCACCTGAGACACCTCTCTCTCGCGCGCTCTCTCTCTCAGCAGTTTTGCCACTTTGTAGCAGGTGCAGACAAGGCATAGCAGCACCTGGCAGGCTATTCAAATTCTTCTGTAGAAAGAAGCAAACAGGGCTTGCAAGGCAAAGGCTCTGGTTTCCAAAACCCTCGATTTCCAGCGTAGTGAGAACACTTAGGTAAAAAAGGTTTCACAAGGGCAGCCCCCAAATTCTAATTGACTCTCCAGCCATCACCTCATTACTGATAGGCCTTGTAAGGCCAGACACAGCCCCCCCACCCCAGTTTCTTACTTGGGCTCACCTGGAGATGCCACCTAGCAGACATGGCACAAGTTGGGTAAAAAACACAGCAGTCCCAAGCAAGGAAAGGTGCTAGAGCAAGGGTAGAAGCCGAGGGGCTCTCTGGTCCAAAAGTTCAAGGAAGTTAAGTCTTGTCCCCCTCCCTACCCACTCCACTTTTGCGGGGCGCGGGGATCCACCTCCCCTCCCCGTTGAAGGGGAGGGCTTCACCCTTTCTACCGCGCGTTCTCTTCCCAAAACAGCTGATGACGTTTTCATTCCCATCTCATCTCCCACCACACTCCCAGCCGCTTAAAAAATCAGAAAGAAAAGCGAAAGCACCTCAGGGGACCGTCACCATCTTCCTCTTTCTACTGCCATCGCCCCACGAGCGTCGCCATCCCCGCACCCACCGCAAGCGGTTCGCAGACGTTTCCTGGACGTGACGGTTCGGGTTCCAGCCCCCAGCCCTTTCCGCTCGCCAGAAGCCCCTCGGGGTCCGGCCCCGGCCCTCCCCGCGCCCCGGCCGCGGCCCGTTCGCCGCTACCGCTGGCGTTCGGCCGGGCGTCCCCGCCCCGCCATCACTCGGGCTCACCTGGGCCTCGACGACGCTCGGGAGGAAGCTCAGGGTGACCAGCAGCTGCACTGCGACCGCCGCCCCCTGCCCGGCGCCGGCCCGCCGGGCCCCCCGGCTCATGCTGACCTCTCCCCCCACCGTGGCCGGCCGGGCCCCTCGGGGCCGGGGAACGGCGGGCGGCCCGGGCGACGACCCAAGGGGACGGTTCCCGGCAGCTGAGAGACTCCAGGGTCAGAGGTCTGCACGCCCGTCCGGAGGCGGGGCCCACTCTCCCCAGCTCCCCGCAGCTGCGAGTGAGGCTGGAGAGCCGAGCGCCCCCCACTTCATCCCCTAGGCGGCCCCGCCCCTGGCTTCCCCTTCGCCCCGGCCACGCCCCCTCCGAGCGCGGCGCCTTGTGGGAGTTGTGGTCCCCGCGCGGCCGCGAGTCGGCCTCCTGCCGGAAGGCGGGGCCGGCGGCCGGGAGAACCCGGGGACTACAGCTGCGGAGGCCGCTCCGCCTCCCCCGGGGCCTCGGGCTCCACGGCGGCCAATGAGGCAGGACCACGCGGGCCTCCAAAACAAGAGGCGGTGCGTGTGGGGCTCCCTCCCCCTCGGCGGGCCGCCGAGCCGCGCCCCCTCCCCGAGCAGTTGCTCCTGGAACTCGGGCGGGGCGTTATCCCCGTGTGGTGGTTCCCTGCCGCCGCACAGGCGGGAGGCTCCGGGATGCGCCCGGAACCTAGGCAAATTAGGAACGGGCGCTGCGGGATCTTCGGCTTCCGAGCCAGAGCGCTTTCTTTGTCTCATTCGGTGTTTTGTAGCCTCACATCTACTGCAAGTGCCTCATTAAGCCACCTGCGACCTGGACAGGTGGCTCGGGCTCCTCCTTCATTTCATACCCGCAGACGTGGATGTCATCCTCTTCTTCGTCCCACTCCCACTCCTCTGTTGAGGCAAACATGATGCACGTCGAAGAACGGGAACAAACCCAAAAGTTTATCATAATGTATAGGAATGGGGATAAACACACAGAAGCTCCTGGAGTGATTCAGACTGGCTTCAGCTCCCACCTCTAAAACATCCTAGATTATTACGTGGCTTCAGACTTACTGGTTACTTAACCTCTGTGAGTCTCAATTTGTTCATCTGTAAGTGAATAATAGCCACCTCAAACACCGTTTTAGGATTACATAAGGTTATATACATAAAAGGCTTAGTATGGTGCCTAGCACAAAGGAAGTGTTCAATGATAGCTGTTATTTATAGTAATAGCCTTGATTTCTAGAAAACTAGCAATACATCAGCTTACATATATGTAGTGTGTATTAGATTCCCATTGCTTCTATAACAAATTACCATAAATTTAGTGGCTTAAAACAAAACAAATTTATTATCTTAGGGGTCTGAGGTTCTGAAGATCAGAAGTCCAAATTAGATCAGCAGGGCTGCATCTTCTAAGGACTTTAGGGGACAATATGTTTCCTTGCCTTTCCCAGCTTCTAGAAGCCACCTGCATTCCTTAGCTCATAACTGTGCACCACACTGTCGCATCTTCACTCCCTCGGCTTCCATTGTCACATGCCTTCTCTTGCTGACCCTAACTTTACTGCCTCCCTCTTATAAAGACCCCTGTGATTACATAGGGCCCACCCAGATAATCCAGGATTATCTCCCCACCTCAAAATTCTGTCTTTAATCATTTTTCTGGAGACAGAACTTGTTTATTGGGTAGGTGGGTGGGTGCCAGTCCCCAAAATTCTTAATCACATCTGTAAAGTCCTTTTTGCCACATACGGTAACACACTCACAGGTTTGGGGGATTAGGATGTACACATTTTGGGGGGACATTAATCAGCCAACACTAGTGTGTTATACCTTTCTGAGCATTTTCATAATTTGAGGGGACCATGCAAAATGAAAATGCAGGGTCCTGGTTCAAAAGATGGTAAGAATTTCAAGACAGTGACAGCAGAGCATTCAACCAGGTGCAGGCCCCTTCTGAGCACAGAGCCCCGTGTGACCGCACGGGCCCCACACCCAGAAGCCAGCCACCTCAGTCCCCTTCCTCCTCAGCAGCTTCAAAACAGAGCGAATTTTCGCTTGACTCTTTCAGCTACTTTTCTACGTTTCCTCTTCTTTTCTTTGCCAAACCTCTATTTTCTAATCTCCCATTCCCTTCTGTCCCTCATTATACATGTGCTCTGTCCCCATCCTTCTGCTAAAGCTTTTCTCTTATCAAATCCAGCCGAGTGGTTTTTCTTTTCAAGATTCCTCATCTCTGCACTGCGTTTGATTTTTATTGGTAACACATACTTTGTGGGATTACATTATTTAAAAATCCTGGGATTTTTTTTTTGTCATGGTTTTTTACAAAAGGACTAGATTATAAATTTTCTTCTTATAAAATCTCAGGTCCTTTAGTGGACCTTTCGTCTCGGGTCTTTTAGTGCTTGTGAAATCAAGGGCAGCAACCACGGTCTGTAGTTAGAGCCCTTCTAGATTTGTCCCTGCAGAACAATTTGAGTGGTCAGTCGACGGAAGGAGGAAAGGGGTCACTCCAGCGCAGGGGTCCAATAGCTATTGTCTTCCTGGTTACCTAACCCAGGAAGTAACAGCAACAACAATACCCCCATTCGTTTCCAGCTCAGATGCCTGACACAAAACTTCTGGGGACGAATGGATTTTTTCCTTGGCGAGTGAAATTAGAAATTGTCGGTGTTTTGCCTGAGATGCCTTCCTAATGACGTCTGCTGAGATCTGTCTTACTGTTAATTGTTACGGGTGTTAGGAGGGCCGTTTTTCCTTTGTGAACAGACTGCTTCTTTTGTTCTCTCTCCCTGCCGCCTCCCCCCGGCCTCTTTGTGTACCTTTGCTTTTCCTAAAATCAACTGCACTGAAACCAGCGTTGCGCCAAGTACCAGTGATGTCACCCCTGCTTCCTGCACAGTTCCACAATGATGCTCAGTTTGAACCTTTCCCCCTCTAACGCTGTGGCTGGAAGTTGTAACAGAGGGCAGAAAGTGCCAACGCTAATCCTCATTGGTTGAAAGCCACAAAAACCAGCTCCTGCTAAACTTTTTAAGAAAGAATAGCAAATGACAAAAATGTAGAAGCGCTTACAGTACCAAGAAAGATTTCGCTGCTCACTCCTGCAGAAAGGCAAGTTCATCAGGACAGCGTTCAGAGACACTAAGCAGAGTCTTTTCCAGGGCACCATCAATGCCAATTGCTTTTAGTCCTTTGTCCTTCCTACCAAAATTCAAATTCCTTCTAGAATTTAGCTTGGAGGAAGGGAGCAAGCCCCTTGGCTGACACCCCTACAAGTCTACAGGGAATGAGCAAGAGGTTACACAAATCAACAGTGAGTGCTACTACCTTCAATTCTTAATAGAAAGGGAAGCGGGGGAGGGGGGGGCACCTGGGTGGCTTGGCTCTTGATTTCAACTCAGATAGTGATCTCAGGGTCATGAGATGGTAATTCCACTAGGGCCAGCCATGACTCTATTTCCCGTGATGATTAATGGAGCCAACCAGCATCAGCCTATGTGCGTGGAGGACGACCTGTGTGCTTCAGGTTTTAAATGAATAGTGTCAAACTGTGCTTAAGGCTAATCTTACTCATACTTGAAATGTACACACACTGACAACACGCACGAAACCAAATTTATATTTGTTGCAGAATCTCTCCATTTAGCTCTCAAATACAAAGGATTCCCCATCTCTCTCTATCCCTTTGTTTCTCTTCCCCTCTTTTGTCCGCCATACCTCTCTCTTCTCTGAGAGGGTGGCCTAATTATCTCATCCGGGGAATCTAGAGTGAGTCCTCCAGAGTCCTATTGCTGTTCCTCCCCATGACATTCATTTAGCACCGACAATCTGCTATTCTGTATTAGGAGTTACTTTTGCTGTGTATATGCGTATTCTAGACATCTAGCTAGTAAAGTTTCAGAAGACTCTGTCTTCTCATACTACATTCTTTTTAGTGGCTGTCTCGGTTCCCATGAACAGTAGTTGATAAATATTTGTTGATTGGTTAATATTTCTTACAACCTCAATTTCTCTTAGAAGACATCTGTCTCAGAACCAGTCCTGGATGGGGTACCCCTGAACGTTTCCTGGGGACAGCTGGGAAATAGCATCATTGGACTGGAACATTCCTGGAGAAGGCAGTAAGATGAAACTGACAGCCTTTCATTAAGGCAAGGGATTCCAGTTCCTTAAACAGAGGTGTTTTGGGGGCACTATCAAAAAGACTGAGGACAGTAACAGACTTGTCAGAGGATTGGTTGAAACCAATTACTGGAAATTCATTACTTTAAGCATTGAAGGTTTATTTTCTCAAACACTATTTGAAATGTCTAAACCCAAGGTTCTTGAAGGAATGGCATGAGAACGGTCTTGAGCAGGTTACTATAATGCTGAAGAGACTTTGCACTGACTCTTTAGGTTTCCAAGATAACATCAAATGTATTGTGTTTCTTTGGTGATTTTTTGGCTTGGTGAACTTGTGACTTCTAGTGAAGGAAATCGTTGATGCATGGTTCCAAATAAAAGTCAAGGTAATGGGGTGGAAATTTAATAACATCAGTAATTTTCACTCCTGATAGCAAGCTGAATTGTGATTAATGAACCAGCTGAGTAGAGGCAATCTGTTGTGTTTAAACAAGCGTATTTGCAGATAGTACCTGCGTGTTAACAACCTGCCATGGCAATTTTTTTAGAAGCGGATTTCCACCTGTAACTTAGTTATAGAGGGAATTTTGGCTTGGTGATAGGATTTCTTACATTTTGCTGAGAACATTTCTTCCCCTGTTCCTTTGACAAGGGATAGGGATTAAAAGTAATTAAAATGAAAGAACTTGGCTGGCCTCTGGCTTGCTATTAGTTACCTACCTAAAGCATTCACTGTTTTTCTTTAATATTTGCTCAGCTGTGACATGCTCAAGTATTTGCACTTAACAGCATTAAAGCTGATAAACTGGAGCAAGTTAGAATTATTTCCATTTCTAAAGGAGTTTACGCAGAGATGTATGCAGTTTGCATAAAACCTTCTTTTACATAACAAGTATATAGCATTATGCTAGAAGTTAACATATAATGTGATCAGAGGGGAAATCTATTAAATGTGATAACTGGGAAAACTAGAATCATTATTTTGCCAATTTCACTCTCCCACCTAATGTCTATAATGCAAAAGACTTCACAAAATCCCAAGGTTCTGTGTCACTTGCCTGCACATTGGGACTGTCTGACTTTGGTCCAGCTCCCACTCCAGTCCTCTGCATAGGATCCAGGGCACAACACATGAGGGCGAACACTGCGCATGTTCTTAGGATGTGAGGATGAA